CATTTTTCAAGGGGTAAGGACAATCTTCTACCTTTATAACTCAACTAGAGTTTTTCACAGTATGTTTTCTGTTTTTTTCCTCATACTTCTAGATAGCAGTATTTGAGCTGAATTAAAATATGGGCATTAAGGTCAACGAAGGAAATGGTGATTCAGTGCCAGCAGTGTACCAAGAAAAAGTGCTAGAAAGAGAGTGTGAGATGGGTCTCATTTTTTAAGGGTCTTTGAGAGAAAGGAGCAGTTCATTCTTAAATAACCTACTATCATTAAGAGTGAATGGGCCAGCTTCATGGCCTGGTGGTTAAGACAGCTGAATCCCACATGCCTAACTGCATGATTAGAATCCCAGACTTGGTGACCTGAGAAATAATGCTGGATGTGTGTACATGCATACCCAAAATCTTGAGAGGAGGAAAAGAGATAGTGGCATGACCATTCCCCATGAAAGGGTGCTTTCTCCAAATCTCTTGGGTAAGTGCATGTACCTTCTGGCCAAAAAGAAGGGAGAAAAAAATGCTGAGTTGGTAGGAGAGAAATAGGTAATTCAGTTCAAAGAATCATGAAATTTAAAAAATAAGTTTTTTATCTTTTTTTTTTTTTTTTTTTTGAGATTTTTTTGCTATAGGGTGTCACCAGAAGGACAGAGACAGAGAGATAGAAAGCAAGAAATCACCCCCCGGTGGGGGGGATGGCCATGCCGCAGTCCCTTCTCCATTCTCCTTTTGGGCGGGCATGCACGCACACGCACCCAGCATGAGTTTAAGCCACCGGGTCCAGGACTCAGACTGCAAGTCGACTGCATGGGAGTTCAGCGACATAGCCATTACACTAACTACTGGTCCCCCAAAAATGAGCTTTTAATAAGGGGGAAGAAGAGTTGAGAAATGGCTTTTGGTTCTTTGAATGGCAAATAGTCCATTGAGGACTACAGCTTCCATGAAAAATAGAGGAGAACCAGCAGAATGGCTATGTCGCTGGATTCCCACATAGTCAACCACGGTTCGCATCCCGGACCCGGTGGCTTAGAGCTCACGCCGGCCACATGTGCACCCAAGATCCCGAGAGGAGAAAGGAGGAGAAGGGATTTCGGTGTGACCATCCCCCCTGGGGGATGATTTCTCGCTTTCTGTCTCTATGTCTCTCTCTGTCTGGCTGGCAAATGCACGCACCCTATAGCGAAAACTTCTCAAAAAAAAAAAAAAAGAAGGAAATAAACTTAGATGATCAATAGATCGGGGTTATGGAAGGTCTTGAATTCTATTATATATTGTTTTCCTACCCACACCATGGCCATTAGAGTTTCTTTAAGGAATAATGCAACCTGAATAAAACTTGCTTTGGAAGGATAATACAAATGCCAACATGAAAAATAACTGAGGGAGGCTAAAGATTAGGGATAGGGTAAGCAGGGGCATTGGTAAGGGAAACTAAGAGTTATTTCAGAAGCAGACTAGTCAGATTGGAGGTGATGGGGAATAGTGTTTGTTAGGAAGCCTATCAATTTCTTAGTGAATAGCAAACTACCTCAAAACTTAGTGGCTTATAACTATTAATTCCTACGGTTCTGTGGTTGACTGGATGGTGTTCTGGAGGTCTTGCTTGGACTCAGCGGAGGAGTCACCTAAAGCTAGATAGTATAAAAAGGCCTCGTTCTGATGTGTGGGGCTTCACTCACTAACTTGGGCTTCTTCTAGGTTTCTAAGAGAATGAGAGTGTAAACTGCAAAGCCTCTTGAAACTGGGACTTACTGGTCACACAGCAGGTCTTCTGCATTACTCATTGATCAAAAGTAATTCATAATGATAGTTCAGAATCAAAGAATGAGAAAACAAGCTCATTTCTTGGGGAAAAGATCTTCAAAGGCCATATTCAGCCAGTTTATAGGAGTCTAATGGTACAACTTTTTTCTTTTTAGATGAACAAATTGGCAAGTCAAGGTTAAATAATTTTTGTGTTTTATTTGTTGATCACTTAGCTGGTAGTTATAAAAGCTTGCTTTGTAAAACTTAATAACTTTCTGGTTCAGCTCAGAAATTGTCATCAGCAACTCTTTCTAAAACAGATCTGAAACTCTTTCTAATAACATTACTATCTGGTTTATAGAATAAAAATAGACAGTTACAGTCCTGGAATGGAAAAGTGAATTCCCCAGCCATGATAATTAATGTGGCTGTGATTAAACAACAGACTTTTTCTGGTGTTTCCTGGCAGCCAAGAAAAAATAACAATTCTTCATTTCCTCATTTAGGAACTTATGTAAGTCACTGAATTACAGAATAGACAGTGACCTTGCACTTGCATAGCATGTGCAGAGATGTCTTATAATGACCTGTTTTAAAAGCTAAGGACATATAGTACAACGGAATAGAAATCTCTAGTGCTAAGCTAACATGTCTCAAGTATTTCCTACTGGTAGTCACGTTAGATCTAAGGCTACCTAGAGAAGTAAATGAATGACTTCTGCTGAACAGTACTATCCAAGGTATAGTCCATGGACTCGTGCTCACCTGTGATCTACTTGATGCAAATCCTCTAAGCGCAGAAACCAAGAATAAGCGTTTAGGAACTTTGGGCAGCTTGACATTACCTCAATGTTCAAATATGGGTAAATTTTACAAAATTATGAGTCTATGATAGATTGAAAAAAAAATCTTTTTAGTTTGAACTTTACCACAAATAGATTTTCAAAATATTTGTTTCTTTGGAGCTTTGGATATAAACTTGGACATTTGAACTCTCTGCTGGTGAGGGTCTTTTGCACTTGTCACCTTTGTTGCCGATATGAATTGCTCTATATCTGGAGTGCACATGGTGGGCATCCTGTTGTTCCGTTGAAATGCCTCAATATTTCTAACAGTATGGATGTCTAGGACATACTGCAGAAAACATGAGGATCTTCCTCAGGAGGAACCCAAAAGTTCACACATTAACATTTGTGGTTTATTTCATTACTACAGACTATTCTTGTTCAGTCCTGGTATCCAATCACAGTGGCCACAAATTCTAGAGAGCAGAAGAAAATATTGGCAAAATATTTGTTAGAAACTTCTGGTAACTTAGATGGTCTGGAATACAAGTTACATGATTTTGGCTACAGAGGAGTCTCTTCTCAAGAGGTAAGAAACTATAATGAACCTTATTAATAAAATGTGGATTTTGAGTTAGAGTACCACTATACACTTTTGGAAATGTTGTTAGGATTATTTTTGGTTCTAAGTAGGCCATAGTTTCAAATGTTCAGTCAGCAGTTGAATATTAAGTACTATGTCAGCCTCTATTTAAGGTCCATGGGACCCTTCAAACATTTCTATCCTTCCTATATCAGATGGATGGGGGGATAGATGGATGAAGAGACAGACATAAGTATATCAGTTGTCAAATAATGCTGCAGAAATGGCACAAGGCAGGGTAAAGGAAGAGAAAGTGATGGGAGGTGAGGGTGAAACAGAAGGTTAAATCTTCTAGTCATTAAGAATAGCAAGAGACAATAATTCCTGGAGTTACGCTGTGTACCTTAAATATGGGTTTTTCTTCCCTTTTTTTTGGATTTTGGTTTATGGTCGATTTTCCAGACTGCTGGCATAGGCGCTTCTGCTCATTTGGTTAACTTCAAAGGAACAGATACAGTAGCAGGAATTGCTCTAATTAAAAAATACTATGGGACAAAAGATCCTGTTCCAGGCTATTCTGTTCCAGCGGCAGAACACAGGTAAAATTCTGTTTTCACCCTATTATCTACACATTCATTTTTTTGAAACTCTGTATTTGTATCTTAATGATGGTTTGCTTAATTTCAGAGCCAGGTGCTGTAGTCGCTCTCAACTTAAGCAGTGCACATTGCAGTATTTGTATTTAGTATCAGGGAGGTAGAGAATTTTTTTTTTAACTTTATTTAAATTGACCAGAAGAGGGACACAGAGAAAGTGAGAAAGACAGCCAGCAGGTCCAGAACTCGAACCACAGTCGGCCATGTGGGAGTCCAGCACTGTTAACCACTACGCCACCAGCTAGCCCTGAGGTAGAGAACTCTTAACCATCCTAGCAGAAACAATTAAAGAACTTTTCTTCAACTCTTATAGTAGGCCTTAAAGTATTGTTGCCGGTTTGCCATGTGCAGGCAGATATTCAGTAAATTGAGCTTCAAAGCACTCACTGTAAGTCTAGTCACTTTTTCTTTTCCTGCTCTTCTACATGACCTCACTTATCTTTATGCTGGAAATTGTCATCTGGCCCTAGTACCTTCTGTTGTAGCTGAGTAAGTAAGCCCTTTTCATAAAAGTACAAGTTTTCAGATTCTTTGTATTTTTTTACTTGCTCTTACCAAACCATCTCAAGTTAAACTAGAAGGAATTTATAATCTAAGCTGCAACTGCTTTGTCTTAGTTAAATTAATCATTTGAGAATATTTGCAGAATGCTGAAACTATCACTGAGTTTAGAATAAAGCTGAGCTTGGGACCAGCAGTTAGTGTAATGGCTATGTCACTGGACTCCCATATAGTCAACCATGGTTTGAGTCCCGGACCTGGTGGCTTAAACTCACGCCGGGCGCATGTGCGTGCCCAAGATCCCGAGAGGAAAATGGAGGAGAAGGAATTGCAGCGTGGCCATTCCCCCTGGGGGGTGATTTCTTGCTTTCTGTCTATCTCTGTCTTTCTGGCGAGCGCACGTGCCCTATAGCGAAAACCTCTCCCCCCCCCCAAAAAAAAAAACAAGGATAAAGCTGAGCCTTATTATTATTGTTTGATGACTATTAATGGACCATTCATATGCAAGGCAGTCCACTAGGTGCTATGAGGTTAGAAAGATTAAAAAAAACTATATCCTCAAAATAAAAAATAGTATTCCATTAACAATCTGCTCTGTTGGTTAGATACCATATAAATTAAAGTGCTATGGTGGTCAGATGGAAGGAAAGGAAGGATTTGGAAGGAAAGGAAGGATTATATTCCACATGCTGGATTAAGAAAGCTTCAGAGCTGGCAGATGATTGAGACGCTAAATTCCCACATGGCCAACCACGATTTGACACGGTGGTTTGCTTTCTCTCTCTCTCTGGTCAAAATTTAATATATAAGTAAAATTTTAAAAAATTTTTTTAAAAAGAAAACTAATTGAGGTACTATGTAAAAATTTTTACTTCTTGAAAGAATGTTAAAATGTAATGGCATTCATTTTCTTGAATAAATATTGCTTGCTTTCTATGGATCAAGTATTATGATGAAAAAGAATGAAATGGGAATATGGATGTGTTTAGGGAATAGGGATTGAACCAGCTTTTGTAGAAATCATGGGGTAGACTAAGAGAAGATAGGCAAAGGTTAGTAAGGACACTCAAATTCATTTTGATGTTGAATGTTAAGAATGTTAACTTTGTATTCATTATGAGCAATATTGCATAAAAAAATACATCATGATTTTTCCAACAACCCAATATTAAGTATTCATCTGTTTAGTAAGAAAAAACTATTCACATTGCAGAAAATGCTTATAGCCATTTTTGCCTCATAGAGACTCACACTTCATTTTCCATCTTACTTATGTTTTGCTCAAGCTAAATATTAAAATTTTTATTCCAAGTCATCTGTGTTATTTAGTAGATTATGAATGAAAAATGACCATCTATTAACTACCTGTTGAAGATATATAACACGTAAAGAGTCAATTATATAAATGTGTGGTGTATACCTCTAAGTAAGTTTTTTTGAAAGATTAAAGACAATTTTTTTTTTAAATGCGTGTTCCTACTGTTGTTGATAAACGTTTTTAAAAATTCACAGAGGAGACCAAGTCCTTGCATTGCCTAGCAAGATAATGGGAATGAGTAGTCATTCATTCTCACATCTTCAAATAATATATAGAGGACATTCAGCTCCTCAGGTTTTGTTTTTTAAGGTTTTTACAATTGGGTGCATATGCTTGCCAAAGACAGTGAAAAGGAAAGTGAGAAATCACCCCCAGGAGGGGGGCAATACCACAGTGCCTTCTCTTGGGGTTTTGGACACACATGTACATGCACCCAACATGATTTTCAAGCCACCAGGTCTGGGACTCAAGATGTGATCAGCCATGTTAAAGAATCCAGTGCCTTAAAACCACTACAGCACTTTCAGGTCCTTAGCTCCTCAATTTTAAATGAATAGATTTAGGGATACTCCTTATCTGCCCCCCCCCCCAAAAAAAAAACCACATTTTATAATTGGTTGTATATGACTTAAGAGTTAAGTAATTTAGTTAGTAACTATTGAAGAGGAATAAGGTTATGAATAGTATTGAAAACAAGTTGGACAAGGGGTGGTTTGGCCCAATACTCCATTTGCCTTGTGATAAGCAGTTACTGAACTAAATCTCTCAACCTTCTCTGTGATCATAATGGTGTAGGATAATAAACATGAAAGATACTAACCATAATTAAGGAATCCATAATGTGTCTGCCTGAGTAAATCTGTGTCTTCATTTTGTTTTCTAGTACCATAACGGCTTGGGGGAAAGACCATGAAAAAGATGCCTTTGAACATATAGTAACACAGTTTTCATCAGTGCCTGTATCTGTGGTCAGCGATAGCTATGACATTTACAATGCTTGTGAGAAAATATGGGGTGAAGATCTAAGACATTTAATAGTATCAAGAAGTACAGAGGCACCACTAATAATCAGACCAGATTCTGGAAATCCTCTTGACACCGTATTAAAGGTAAATTTTAATATGTAACTTAATTATTACAATGCTTGTAAATAAAACTGCATCAACACTACTTTTAGTTTCATTTCTATACACACTATTTGAGAGCTGCTGCCAGAGGATGCAATAGATTTGCCCGAGGTCACAAATTAATAGAAGAGAAAGAATACCAAGTCATAAGTTATATATAGACAATTATGTATAGTTAGATACTTTCTACTTACCTTCAAACTTAATAGCATCACCATTTTAATCAGTCCTACAGTCTGGCCACCATGTTATTTGTGGTTTGTTTCTTGGCATTTTATTGCAAGTCATTGTGCATTTTGAAGTTGTTAGTACTAAAGTGCAGGGAAAGTGATATGTAATAAAATTAATAGGAAAATAATACCTTTCCTATTATATATGCTACTTTTCAAGTAGTGACCCTTTAAAAGATGCCACTAATTCTTTTTTTAAAAAATAGGTAACAAATGTAGTAACTATTCAGGCTTTAATTTACCTTCTTTGAAAAGCACTAAAGAGAGCAAAGTTATTGATGCCTATTTTGAAAAATACTTTGGCAGATACTCTATTGTTACTTTACAGAAGAAAACAGGCTTAGAGAAGTTAAAGTAACTCTCAAGATTGTACAACATGTAAAATGAGCCAGATAATCCGATGTAGATTGGGCACAGTCTTCCTATTTACCACTTGTTTTTCAGCTATGAGCAAATAATAAATTACACTTAAAAAAGAAGGACATAGAATCCAGGAAGCCTTTTTCTGTTCTGTTAATTGATGGATTGATCTGAAGGTTTTTTTCCTTAGTCTGAAATAGTATCAGATTTGGTTTTAACAAACTTAATACAGGTCATGTTAAATGTACACAGTTATAAAAATAGAGTCATCAATGAAATTTTCTCATTGATAGACTCTTCAATCAATTTATTCAAGAAAAAGAACAAAGGGGGCAGTATGTCTCATAGGTCTTTTGCATATCTAAGCTTTTGGAGGTTTAAGTTGGTAGTTCAGCTGCTGTAATTCCACTTTAATTAAAAGTAAATGGAAACTTGAGAAACTATATGTATATCAGTGTCCCCAAACCGATATTTGAGTTACGTCAGACAAAATTAAAACCAACAAAACTGCCAAGACAAAATCCAAGTCAAAAATATAATCATGAGGGACCAGCATTTGGCATAATGGCTTTGTCACTGGACTCCCATGTAGTCGACCACATTCGAGTCCCAGACCTAGTGGCTTAAACTCATGCCGGGCGCGTGTGCGTGCGTGCCCAGGATCCCAAGAGGAGAATGGAGGAGAAGGGATTGTGGTGTGGCCATCCCCCCAGGGGGCAGTTTCTCGCTTTCTTTATGTCTCTCTTTCTGGGGAGCGCATGTGCCCTATAGCAAAAACCTCTCCCAAAAAAATGTGTGTGTGTGTGTGTGTGTGTGTGTGTGTGTGTGTGTATAAAATCATGAGTTTGTTAAATGTTACATATATTTGTTTAGAAATACCTGTTGTTTGAAACTCCTTAATATTAAGGACATTTCTTGTGTTTTGAACCATTTTATAATGGTATAAATAGTATTCCATTTTTATGTTATTAAAAGGGTTTGAGACTAACTTCTAGGCTTAGCTATATGTTTAAGATTATCTAGCAAAGCAGGATCATTTTTTAAATTTTAAAACATTCTTGTACTTTTTTCAGTTTTAGTTCATTGTGTTGCATGTGTTTTCATCTGTACAGGTTTTGGATATTTTGGGTAAGAAGTTTCCTGTTACTGAGAACTCAAAGGGTTTTAAGTTGCTGCCACCTTATCTTAGAGTTATTCAAGGGGATGGAGTAGATATCAATACTTTACAAGAGGTATGTATTTTATATTAGAAGTTCCAATAAGGTGATCCTTACAATTAAGCTCTTTTTTTTAGTTTGATAACCAACATGTTAGTAATTCAAATAGTGTTTTCTGTAGCTGTTTGATGGTATGTCTTCTGTGCAGTGCTTAAAGTTTAGACATGTTAGTAGTTTAAAATATAGGCGTACCAGACAAACCACCCTTACTCCTCTGCTCCATGATGACTCTGAAGAAGTTTTTCTATGGTTAAAGGACATGTCAGTCAAGGATTATTCCTTGTAATAAAAAGCAAAAGTCTTGACTCTGCTTTCTTAGATTCAGTAGAATGGGGCTGTACATGCTCTATACAATGAAAAAACTCAGATACTTTCAGGTGCTTTTTCAGAAACGATAGAATAGTATTTCACGGCTTCTAAATTAAGCATTGACTGTCATCACCAGTACTGTTATATTTAGTCAAATTGCGTAAGGGTTATATTACCTTAAAACTTTTGCCTGTTCTTTCTCAACAAACTTCTTGAGAGCAATCATTTCATTTTACCTAAAGTCATAAAAATGAAGAATATCACGAATGTAACCTAGGCTGTCTACCCTCATAAGCCACTGACAGTTCAATGTATACCAGTCTCAGATGGTGTCCAGTTGCATAACACAAGTCAATTAAAGGCTTTTCTGTTTGAAGAGAGTTTAGTGTTGTTGGAGTAAGGCCAATACCCAAATGGTAGTTTGTTTTCCAAAAATTTATTTGGAAGAACTACAGTGTATAACAAGTAGTATTTCTATGATGATACGTATTTAGAGTCCCAAAATGAGGTATCTGAACTAGATGTCTCTTGCAGTACCAGAAATTAGGTTTTCTCTAGCAGCTCTCTCAAACTCCTTCTGCTTAGATCTAAGACCTCGGGCATTAGAGGCTTTCAGAAAAAAAGAAGGAAGAGATGGGAAAAGTGTGCAGTGAGGAAGAGAAGCCCAAGTAGAGAAATCTCAGCAGGCAGGTTTATTTGCTGCCATCCCTGCTAAGCTCAGCTGAACTGGTGATTTCTTACCTTGGAATCAGTTGACTGCTGTCATCCATATCTGCATTTCAGGCCCTTTAAACAGGTACCCTCACACACACCCTTCCCTTTCAGATGAAGACCATGGACAGAGCACTGTACCTGTTTCAGGAAACCCATTAGCTTATTGTCTTGCCTACCTTTCCTTGTTGTAGTGATAAGTTGTTTAAGTTGGGTGCTCTTTCAGGTATTTGAACTTCCATTTTTAAAAAAGCAAAGCTTTTTTTTTCCATTAAGAGAGATTTTTGCTATAGGGTATGTGCACTCACCAGAGAGACAGAAAGCAAGAAATCACCCCCCAGTGAGGATGGCCCTGCCGCATTCCCTTTTCCTCCATTCTTTTGGGATCTTAGGCATGCACACGTGCCCAGCGTGAGTTTTAAGCCACTGGGACTGGAACTTGAACCATGTTCGGCTCTGTGGGAGTCCAGCAATGTAACCATTACACCATCTGCTGGTCACAAAAAAACAAAGCCATTTTAAAATTAAGAATCAGCTCAAATCTTTATCTTTTAACTACATGAATAAGTTAAATATTAAGACAAATATTCTTTGACGTTGACGTAACCTTAAACGGGACAATCAGAATTTAATACTTTTGTGCTGCTACAGATTTTAGAAAGAAGGAAATTTGGTACTTCTGCTTTTTTGCATATTCTAAATTAGATACCTTAATTTTGACAAAATGAAAAATCTTTATTTGAAACATCTGCCTTCTCTTCTCTCCTTGACTGTCAGCCTTACTATGGGACTTTACTATTAAGTCTACCTGTGACATCCGTGCAATTTGCAGTGTAACCCCACTCCAGGGTTGTGTGTTCCAAAATGAAACCTGCTTTCTTAGGAAAAGAGGCAAAAATCTATTTCAGGTTGAACAAAATGCAAAATGTCCATCGTCTCTGTATTACAGTTAGGGACTTAGTCTTGGGCATCACAGTGATTAATTAATTAATGTTATAGTATTAAGTTCTGGGCCAGTCTGTGGCCTGGTGGTTAAAGTGACTAGATAGCACATGACCAACTGCATCATTTGAATCCCGGACCAGTAGCTTGAAAAAGATGCCAAGTTGCATGTGCATGAGTGCCCAAAATTCCAAAAGAAGGAGAAATAGAGAAGGAATTGCAGCATGACCATTCCCCATAGTGGGTGCTTTCTCACTCCCTCTCCCCAACTTCTTCCTCCCTCACCTCCAGCACACATGCACGCTGGCAAATTAAAAAAAATTTTTAGGTATTTTTGTTCTCAAAATTGGCAAATGGAAGATTTGAAATTCCACATATCTTAAATATTTTTCTTCCCAAACTCAATTGTATATCATTATTTCATGCATAGGTCAACATCTGTATCCTTTCTTCCCTTTTTGCCATCCTACTGTTCTTTTTCTAGGACCTTTTTACCTACCTCTCTGCGAAG